CAATGATGGGAAACTAATGAAGGATGAAGGAATTCAGATGCTGGGGACATGAAATCTCTGCTGAAACATATCTATGTAACCACATTTTCATCACATGTGATCTACCATATAGTACATATTATAACAGATTTCTATGAACACTTCTCCCAGGAAGGAATCATTTTTTCTTGAAGGTATGTATTTTTCCAGCAATAAGCTGAACCAAAGTACTCTACTAATCCTGTCTTCTGACACTGGGAGGCTGCCTACTCTCCACAAAGGAAAACAAAACATTGATCCCTGAATTACTGCACAGCACATCGCAGATTTACCTGCATCAGTCAGAAAGAGCAGGCTCTTATGGAAATTGCACCAAAGCTAGTAAGTCCTGCTCATGAGCTGGCCTGTGGGAAAAGCAGCTTAGTTTCAATGCACTCACTGCTGTAGACACACGGGATATCTGAGAAACAGCTGCCCCGCTTGTTCCAGCGGGTGCAGACGCTGTCAACTTGCAGCGCTGCTTCACCTGCGCTGCCAAGGACACCCGTCATGCACGAGCACACTAACAGAAACCAGCCCCAAACGACAGCGTTTCCTGAACTATTCTTTCAATTACAATGACGCCGCTCCTTTCATTAATAAGATTCAACTGGAAGTCTGCTAAACATGTGTGCTGGGACAAAACCCAGAATCCCATCTGACAAATTGCATTTGTTCACTTCTTGGGGAGACTGTTCTGTGTTTCCATGACATGATGCTGGTAAAGCTAATAAAGCGGAGACCTTTATTAGATGTGACTAACGATAAAAGGGACTCTAGTTCCTAACATTTTTTTTTCTAAATCCTGTTCTCCTCTCCAACTATTACTCTGTGGAAGGCTTGTGGCATAGGAGTAAAGTAAGAGAAGAGAAAGTATAAGGCAAGATTTATTGCCTGGAGTTTTTAGAGCTGTGACCTGTTATTTCAGGTACCCAGGCTTGGACTGAAACCTCATTGTGCTGGCAGTCAATGCACACATATTGGAAAAAAAAAGTGGGCCCTCTTCCCACGAGGCTACAATCTAAATGAAATGCAGTTTAAAAAAGAAGCAGTGCCTGACTGTATTTTGATAACTTCTAAACAAACAACTGGTTTGCACATGATTTTATTCATATTTATTTAGATTGCTGTAGTAACCTTCAGGACCAAGGAAATACAAAGGAAAGGAGATAACCCCTCACCACATAATTTCTATGATCTTAATATGGGGCTATATGATAAAATGAATTATCTTAATTTAATAGCAATATTTTCGATCTGGTATTGAAGGACATTCTGGATGGCAGAAATCTGCAGTCTCCTTGTTGGCAAGCAGCTGGAATCGCAGCAATGATGCAATTTTTGTGTAGCTGTTAAACAAGGGACCCTCTCACTGTGTTAGCTGGATTCCTTCTTTGTTGTTATTGTTCTGATCCAATTAGTCACTGCTTTCAAGTTAAGGGATCCAACTGGCTCATTGGACTGAAAGAGATACAAGAATAACAGAAACCCAAACTGGTGGTACAAGAGAAAGGAGAGAATTTTTTTTTTTTTTACGTGAAGTGCCTCAGTAAGTCAATTGCATGCTTTAACTAAACCTTAATTGCACCAAAACAACAGAAAACAATCAAAAAGGGTCTGTTTTGATTCATTACGTACCAGAAACGTGAGAGATGGAACTGAACTAGTCCATGAATCTGTCACTATGAGTAAGCTCCCCATGGAGCCTGTTTTAGTTGCCTTATACCACAAAATATGGAAAAGACAGGTCCACAAACAACCAAAGCAGCTGGTCACTGCTATTTCCCCTTTATTCAGCGCTGGTGACGCCACACCTGTGGTGCTGGGTCCAGTTCTGGGCTCCCCAGTAAAAGAGAGACATGGATGTACTGGAGAGAATCCAGCGAAGGGCCTGGAGCATCTGTCCCATGAGGAAAGGCTGAGAGAGCTGGGACTGTTCAGCCCAGAGATGAGAAGGCTCAGGGGATCTCATCAATGTCTATAAATACCTGAAGGGGAAGGTGCAAAGAGGACAGAGCCAGGCTCTTTTCAGAGGTGCCCAGTGACAGAACCAGAGGCAATGGGCACACACTGAAACACAGGAGGTTCCCTCTGAACGTCAGGAAACACTTTTTCACTGTGAAGGTGACCAAGCACTGGCACAAGTTGCCCAGAGAGGCTGTGGAGTCTCCCTCCTTGGAGATCTTCAAAAGCTGTCTGGACAAGGAGACAATTCACTGATTCAGGACTTCCCATTCGGATGCTGGTTACGGTGCAAGAGAAGGGATGCCGTATCGTGGTTTGACATAAGGCTCCTTACACTGCGTTCAAATATCAAACATGCCTTCAGAGACAAGGCTGGGGCACGAAACAACGGGTTCTAAAATGCTGAGATGTATAATACAGAGGTGCCCTTGACCCTCCTGATAACAGAACTGCTGATGACACACAACAACGGCAAAACTGCTTGTGCCCAACATAAACCAGCAGAAAATCCTTGCAAAATATATTCTAATCTGTGCATGCCTCCAGGTCCCATCCAATTCCTCACAGCTGGTACAGTTAGAAAAATACAGAGTTATGAAACATACTGAATTATGAAATATCATTGCCTGCTTTGCTGAGTACTGGTATGCACGTACTTCTATGTTAACTAAAACCCAGTTTATCCTTCTCCTCCGTACTGGTTTGTTGCTCAGTTCATCAAAGAAAAAAACCTACTTTTTAAAAGTCAAAGAAAAGAACAGTAGAACTGAACATGTTTGTCCAGAGAAGATTCTCCTGCAGGGCGTGTCTACACTGCCCAATGCAGCTGAGATCTCTGGGCTGCTGCCAGCGCAAGTAGCTCAGACATCAGACCCGGCAGAGCCGTGTTAAGGTAGAGCATCATGCAAGACATTTACCCCGAATCAAGTAGCTGTACTGCTTCTCCTATCCAATCTAGCCTGTTGAACTGGCTTTGATGTTCATACGCTGCACTGCATTGGAACTAGAGAATGAAGTATGTGTTTTATTAAACCTCAAAATGAAAGCATGCTTTTTTGTTACATGAACAATAACATTCTTTGATGTCTGAGTTAAAGAGTTGCCTACCAAGTAAATGATTTGAAACTATCAAACGATTGACCATGAGGATTAAGAGAATGTTTATCATGTCAGACATTCAAGATTAATTTATGTGTAGTGCTGCTTCTTTATTATCATTTTGATGATAAATTTGGATTTGACCTCTGCATTAAAAAAATCATATAGGGCTGGGGCTGCAAACTCCTGAACCATGCTTTATAACATGCTGGTAATTCTCAATTTCTGATGACATTACAGTCTATGCATGCTGATTTTTATACTGATTTCAAAGAGTTGATATACCTCAACACTTTCAAGAATTTTGCCATTACCATCTCTTACCTCTTTTCTCAATACGAACAATTAGATGAAGGTGGTGAAGAAGTAATGCTACTGCAGACTTTCAGAACAGCTGTGAATAAATGCCTATTTCAATTCATGCTATGTATTTACTGCAAATGTTATTACTTACTGCAAAAGAAAAATTAGGTACTCTTACAGTTCCAGTGTGAAGGTTATGTGTTACATAGCAATAGTTTGCTTTGTCTTCAATTTAGAAAGAGATTTAAATTAAATAGCACTTTTTCACAAACAGAAAACTATAGCCTTCTCATCAGCCAGGCAGGACATTCTGACTTGCCACACAGTTCAATTAATTGCTTTCTGAAATTCATGTTTTAATTCCTAATAATTTTAATTTCTTCATCTACGCCCACTGGCTGTCACAAACATTAATAGAATGTGGACAATCAAGCGTTTCCCACCCCCATTCTCTCCTTCTTCAGCCCACTATGCTCAGACGAGGATATATCACCAAGCTACTCCCCTCTACAGTCAGCCACTCAGCACCAAGCATTAACTCTAGGTATTAAGAATACAAAGGAGTAAACCAGCTTTCCATCAGCTCATGACTTTCAGTTGCTGGGTTTCCTTGCTCTAGGATTAGGGTTTGACAGCAATGTAGTAACACCCAGCAAAACGCAATGCAAAATATTCTCTGTCCCTATTTTCTTCCTCCCTTGCTTCCCATTTTTCCTCTTTGATTTTCACTTGGCTTGCTCACTGCCCCACTGTAGTTCTTTTTTTCCCCATTTGATCATCTCTTTTCCTGCTCTGCACTTCTTCTACACTGTCTTCCAAGCCTCAAAATAAGAAAGAAAATAAAAGCTCATGACCAGGCTTCTGAGGAATTACCTTCCAGTGAAACACCTTCTCACAACTTTTACCACACTGCCTTCCTTCCAAATATCCCTCGTTTTTTTAAAATGCCGTTCCATGCATTTCTTAATGTCACAGCCTAAATCCCTCCCTCCCAACACCTTCCTACATCCACACCTTCTTTTTCATGACAGCCTTCTTCACTCTCAATATACCTTTAAGGGTTATGATCTAGTCCCTGTCTTGATGATGATCCAGCAAGCGCTGGAGGGCATTCATACAGCTAGTAAGGGGTTCAGAAGCAGCGCACACCACTAATGTCGATGGCACATGCCCAAGTGATTCTTCTCAAATAGGGACTGTGGACCTTAGACACTATTATGTTGATAATAAACAAACCTATTCAGAAATAATCTTTGTAATCCCTTTAGTATTTTCACAATTTTCATGAGCACGAAAGGAAACATTTTGAAACACCAACTAAACTCTGAGCAATCTACAGAGGACATTATTCTTATTTTCCTGTAAAAATCACTGAAGTCCATTCTAATGCATTTTCCCATCCCTCAGAAAGGTGAGTGATTACATAAGCTCCATTATAAATTAGGTGTAAAACCGAAGGGCCACATAGTAACACCATGTGTTTATATCACAATACTCACCGAATTCTTATTTGAACATGTGGCTTCTTAAATACATCAGCCGTCAGCATTTTTTACATTTCTTTATCAGAAATTGGAAAAAGCTGGTTTTGCCACAGATAATTCCAAGATACTTACCCAGTCGTGTAAGGTATATTTATTCCCCCTAGATTAATGCTTTCACATCCAACAATGAAGAGAGTTGAAAAGCAGAGCAGAGACACACCACTGCAGATCATAGCCAACTTTGCAGACTCTCTCGCACCGAGTTTCAGTTTTTTTATAATGTAGCCGCCTAGGACAATACCAACACCAGCACTTGGGACAATAATCACACCTGCCGGGAAGAAAATTGAGCAACATTAAAACAGGACCTATAGAAATGGTATAAAACATGAATATTGGCTTCATTCCCTAATTAGATGACTACAAATGCTGCACTAAGATCTCCATTGTCTGATTCTCCGCTAGCAAAGTGAGTCAGACTTTTCAAAGCTCTGGAGTGTTGTCAAAGAATTAATAAAAGCCTCCTTATGATATTACCAGCAGCCAAAGCACTATAAGAGAACTATTGTACTTACAAGCAGAAACATTGCTTTGTATTTATTTTAGAATGGGGAGAAGGGATACACATTGCTCCAGTTTAATTACTGAAAATTTGAAGAAATGCAGATTTGGACACAAACCTTCCTCTTCCTACTCTCATGATTAATCCCAGTGAAGCACAAGTGCAGGCAGGACCCCAGAAGCCGTCCCACTTGGGAGCGCACGCGTGAGCCTGGCTGCAAATTCTGCCTTCTGGATACTTTACTCAAGCTGAATAGCACTGAATAGCACATCGGCAGCCCCATTCATCTCAGCACCGCCATGTGGAGTGTAAACTGATCAAACACGATTAAAGAAATTAAGATACTAGAAGCAGTATCAGGGTAAGTTTAAGACCCAAAAGACACGCCTATGAAATTTCTGTCGCTCTGTTGCTGCAGTTATAAGATGGCAGTTCAGCAACATGTCACTGGGCTGTCCTCACTTCCCAGGGCCTGAGCTGGTGTTGTCAGTGAATGTCTTGCACTTCTTAGCTTCCCTTGGCTTTTGCTTCTCACTGACATGTGAGAAGGTCTTTGAATAAGGTCTTTGCTCATAAAGATGCATTCCACATAAATATGGAATTTGAAAAACTTTTGGCAGCTGCATCTAGGGAGAGGGAACTAAACTTTATAATCCAAATTCTTAAAGATGTTGGCCTTCTTTTTAAAGAAGCCAGTAAGACTATCGCTTGCAAATTTCTTTAATATTATTGCAAAGCATTTTTATTCTCTGCTAATTTGTGTAAAGGCGAAGGGGACATCATATTTATCAAAATGTTGAGATTGTGAAAGTAAGAATAAGAGGTAAAAATAGTTGCCACCATAATTATACTGCCATCACCAACGGCATTATAAAATAAAATGTCATTTCATAAGGAAGATTTGTAATAATAACGCTTCACAGACTCAAAACCAGTCTTTCTCATAAGAGCAGAATTTAAATGTATAAGTCCTTCTACGAGAATTAGATGATTTTCACAAAGTTCAAAGCTGTTATCTCTCTCGAGCTGTTATATCTCTCACTTTCAATGACTGAATATGAACGAGGGAAAGAAATAATGCAAATCCTTTCATTTGCACTGAAAATGTTCTCTCTGCATGAAAATGGTAATTCAGCCATCTGAGTCCACCAGGCATGCCCTGCTCTACGAAATCTGTGTCAGAGAAGCCCACATCCATGCCAAAGGCAGACTGGGATCACTTGCAATGCCTTCTAAAACACCCCTGTCAGGTGAACCAAATTCCATGGACCAAATCCGTGGCTTCATCAATTACATGAACTAAGGATCTAGCTCAAGGGAAGGGCTTACCGCCGATAAATTAACCTCAGTATTTTATTCTTCTTCCTTCCACCTTATAGCTTAGCTTTGAGTTCTTAACCTCTTTTGGACCTGAATTTACCTTTTATTTCTTGTCCTCTTGAGGGCACGGATATTGGAAAAGCCTTTCACTAGAACTGAGAATCTGTGTGTCTATGTCTAGTACTTTGTCAAAACTAAGCATGTAAATATTTTGTGAGGCATTAAGTTAGTGGTTCTTCCATTAGTGAGTTACACTGCGCTGCTGTTTTCATCCATCCTCTGCCACATCATGAAGATCAGACCATTAAAAATGAGAAGAACATGAACAAATTGCCCACCAAGGCTCGCTCTCATTCAAAAGGATGGAAAGGTAAAGGAAAGCCTACACAGAAGAACTATAAAGACAAATTCCTCCATGCAAAGTGGAGCTGGGGATGGAAAAACTCTCCCTCTGGGAGAAACTGGAAGGGCAGGAGCAGATTTCGCTGTTTGTGGTGAAGGCAGCAGAGAGAAGCACTCATTCCCTCCTATGTGTCAGGAAGCCTGACCGTTTCTTTTGCCCTAAGTACAAACTCTTCATCCTTATGCCCCTCTCTTTCCGCAGGGGATGTGAAATCAGAAGTGATGTACTGTCAAAGAAATGCAGCTACTACAGTGCACTTCCAGACGAGCTTCCAGGGCAAAGCCAAGCATGTACATCTGATCAGGACATGCATTCTTCTTTTTCAAAGGCATTTAGAGGAATAAAGCTTAAGATCTGATACTAAGCTCTTGTGCTGCACTTTCCTTCATTTTATGACAGTTTGGCTTACAGGAATTGTGCGTGTGCCAAAGAAACTCCTGGGTACAGTGCTCTGAGGCAATATCAGCTTTCAGTCAGCAATTTTCAAGCTTTGTCCTTTTTGCTGTTGTCAGGATGCTGCGGCACTTGAGGCTTTCCACAGCGGCAAAACATGATCTTAACAGCTACTAATAGTCTGGGAACAAAAAACTGCAGTATCTGCTAGGCGGCCTACACTTCCAAAGGGAATACCGTGGAGATCTTCAAACCAATTCTGTCTGAGATACATGTTACATCTTTTCTAGAACTAAAGGTAGATCCAATGTGTTTATAACCGTTTTAGCAGAAGTTACCAGAGCAGTGCTTTATAATATATGGTGTGCAGTTCTTCCAATTACAAATTATTTGAATTGTGACTCTCTTTTTTACAAGTAAATCTGCTAGCAAACCACTTGAAATTTAAACCTGGATTTGTCTAAGATCTATCTGTAAACCAAAAGTCAAAATTCTTTTTTTTTTGGACTTGAGAAGGCCTGGAGGCTGAATGCCACCTGCTCTACACACAGAAAATAGAACTCCAAACAAGACAAGACTGCAGCAAAAGCTGCACAAGTTCAAGACATGAAATTTGGCACATGACATTTTTGCTGATGATTAACGCCAGGTTTGTTTAAAAATAGAAACAAATTGAGACTTAATTAAAGAATTCCTGCTTACAAATTGAGATGGAAAATGACCAATAAAAAATTTACATCAGTAACTTAAAGAAATTCAGCAAGCACATGTACTCAGCTGGTGATCTACATATGAACTATAGATGTAGTAATACAGATAACGTAAGTCCTCCTTTTGCTAACCAGAAGTTTGTAAACTGGATATGGCTTTGACTAGATTAGCCAGTAGCAATCTAATACAGAATCCTCAAGTTTCCTTTTCCCATTTTTCCTACAAAAAGAATTTATAAAATTATTAACAACTGTTGACATTAATGCTAAGTTTAGGAGTTGGGGTTGTGGAAGCAGTGCTCACTTGTCCATGTTGCACATCCAGCTTGAGCTATTTCATCTTCTTCTTCTGGTTCATTATAATAGCCTCTATCAAGCAATTTATAACAGGGAAAACAACAGATGTTAATAGCTTCACACCCTGGATAGGGTCATGTCATTTTTTCCTCTTTTAATGTACTGGCTATTGAATATTTTGTCCGGAAAGAATGTCTCTGGTTTATCCTGAGAACAAAGCGAGTTATGGAGCAGCAATCCCATCAAGACTCATTACAGCAAAACTCCTATAAAATCACGGTCCCATCAGTCAATGTTTCCTCCTTACATACAGAACATAGGGTTTTCATGCCCTGAAGAAAATCTCATCCCAGCAAAATCTCAAACAGAAGTCACCACACGGTGATGTTTCCCCTCTGATGTTTCCCCTCCACACTCTAGAAAGACTCCTCGGTTTTTTTCCAGCCACTGCAGGTGACAAATGATACCCTTGTGAGGTGTCTGTGTCTTTTTCTCTCTTTCTTCCACTACTTTTTGTCCTTTCCTTGACTGATGCCCCTGGGCAGCTTCACCCCATACTTCACCCCCGTTCCCACAACTCACTCTCCACTCCATCACTCTTTCTCAGGCGAAATATCTGGAAGTATGGGAGAGCAAAGAATTGCCTAGCAATTAGCAGCTCTTCTATATGGGAAGCACTATGGAGAAGTCAAAAAAATGCTTATAAAGACAAGTGTCTTTGATGCAGCTAGGAAAGAAGAGAGATGATCTGCATGACATGGGCCCCAATTCCACACCACATTTTGGTCCCTTTCCCTAGGGAAGTTCCCATCTCTCCCTCCCGCAGAGCTGTACGAAGCTTAAAATTTTGTGGTTGTAGCTCTGTTAGAAGTTGGACTTGGCTGTACATTGCTGCGGCAGCAGGGGAAGTGCCACACCTGCAAAAGAGGGGTCTCAGACCTGAAATGACAGGTGGGAGAGGATTTGGGGAGCTCTCCTGTCTAGACTAGATCATTATGCGCTCGATGTTAATAAGTAAATAAGGAGAAAACCACCAGCCTGGAGGGTAGAGAGAACTGAAGGATGGGACAGATAAACAACTCGTCACTGGGGAAAAAGAAAGATTAGGATATTTTAAAGACCAAAGACAAAGTAAAATTCACATAAAATAAGAACGGCTTTAAAAGATCTTTTAAGGCACACAAACTACAGTAATGCCTGTGGGTTTTCTAGCTTGTTTTTGTTGCATTTTTCCTCCCTGAAGACCATTAACACATTAGAGAATGTCTGTCTAGGCTTAGGTTAAAAAAAACAGCCCTTTAACAATATAAATGGGTTCACGTTTTACTAAACACATATAGCAAACATCAAAGAACAGCCTGAATATCTAACCAAATACACAAAGCTGGAGCCAATCACCTGCTCTAACAAGCGCGTTTTTGGTTCATTCCTACATTGATTCATTTCATTAGTCAAAGAACGCCAACTCTTTCAACATTACACTACGTGGCAACGCCTTACCAGTGTAGATGCTGGCATTGGAAGCTGGGATGCCAAACTGTGACTCGATGAACTTGGGAATGAAGGTAATAAAAGCTGTGACAATGGCACTCTCAGCTGTGTATGACAAACTCACAAAAAGGAATGTCATGTTGCTTAAGATCCTGACAGCTGCTCTTGGAAGCTCTATAAAATGACAAAAATTACAAATGAATGTTATAAATAATGAGCGAGAAACAAAAGCAAACTGAAACAAAACAAACTGATTTTCTTTGAGATGGACTGGCAATAATGGCTTGCTAGCATCTGGCTGTATTTGCTAAGCGGAAGGAAGAGTGCATATTTGGGATTACAATCTTCGCTGTCTGCTCTTACTCTGTCTCACTGCATCACCCCAGGGCTGCAGTCCCACTTTTCACAAACACAACTGAGGTCTGTTTTAACAAAACCGTCTCAATAAACAGAGTCTACACAGTAACACTATGAAGGAAAGAAAAACAGCAATAAAGAGATTTTGGAATTATTCTGATGTCTTATTTTGAAATTTTCTACAAGATAACACATATCACACTGCTGATCCGACAGTACTGAGTTTTGCACTCCACAGGAGGAAAACAGATCACATACTCCCCCTGTAACTCGCTGCTTCAAGGACCATGCTTGGAAAGCTGGGATAATAACACCACAATTTTAAAAGGGAACCAAAAGATTTTTAATTAAACATTTTTCTACATGATTTAAAAGTATTTACAATAGATGAAGACAAAGCATACTGAAAAAATGATGTCAATGATGTCAATGAATCTCAACATACCTTACATATAACTCATTTAATACTCTCAGAAGGGAGAAAACAATCAATTAAAAATGAGAGCACATCATTAACTTAAATTGAAGAAGTATTCATAGATGTTGCAATTATCCTCAAATCAAATATCAAAACCCCATGAAATTCAGCACGGTAGTTAAAAGAAACACTTAAATACTTTTAATTCAGCCCTGTAGTGATGTCAAATTATCATCACAAGATGATGATAACTCTATTCAAGACTTAATTTTTTCAGATTAGATGGCTTGATTTTAAATGTGTTTTTTTTCCCTTGGGGCATCTACCAAGATCAGATTTTCTGTTCAAGTATTATATCTAACCACTGTGGTTTGGATTTTTTCATTTGCTTTTCACTTTGTACAGAAATTGAATGCTACTTGAATCAAAGCCCACTGACTTCAACAACAAGAGTGCCCATTAGAAATACAACATGCTGAGTAAGAACTCCTGAGTGAGAATTTTATTGATGTTAAAAGTTGTCAAGTAAAAAATCTGTCTCGCTTTCTCCATTGTCTCCTGTAGGTTATCTGTATAAAAGCAAACAGAATTTAGACTCTTGTCATGTCAAAACTTATCAGGCTGTAAATTAGCACCTAAGTTGTCTGACTGCATCCAGTCTTAGCTTATGCCAGTCGCCAAAATTTATACTGAATTCATTATGAGTACAGGGTTTGTAATTTTAATGTAGTCAAATGCTCTCTTGCTGCCTCTATGAAGAAACATATTAAATGTTAAATACAAAATTTGGTGGAAATAAGTAATGAATAAATCATATTAAGAAGCACTCGTGTATTTGAATGCTTTTTACCACCTACAGCTTTTTTTAAAAAAATGTGGCTCTGTTTGCAATAGAAGAACAGAAACAAACAAGAACAGGAGTATGAGACCATGTAATATCAACATGAATATACGGAAACTGTAATGCAACTGTACACCTTCAGAAACTACCTTACAGTATCGAGTACAAAGATAAAACAGTATCAGTATTTATTGGCAAATATGCTGCATGTTCAAAATACAGCTGTTCAAAATTCATCTCATTGTTCAAAAGGAAATGAAAGAGAGAAAAAAGAAGAAAGATCTACAATACCATCAGATGTCAGCCCTCAAACCTCATCAGCTTTGGCTTTGTGTCTATTTTTGGGTTGGCTTGGGTTGTGTTGGGTTAGCTGGTGAGGGCTTAGATGCAAAAAGAAACCGAAGGGCAAGAGCCAAGATGCTCTAACCCAGCTTTTGCAAAGCTTCTCATGGGGCTAGATGATGCAGTTTAAGAAAACGGCTGTCACAGGGCTGCAGCGGGGCAGCTGTAGCAGGATTTCCCCGGGGACAGGGTGCGGGATTGAGTGCTTCTCCCCCGGCAACAGGAGCAAGCGGTTATGACCGCGCTGCTGCTGCTGTGAGAGTCGGGAGACAGAAAGATGGGTCCTGCTGGAAACTAAGCTATTTGGTGGCAGCTGCTCACTTGTGCTGAAAACATGTGGAAGAAGATAAGAAGATAGTAACTTTCCGAAGACTGGACATCACAGAGAGAAATATCGTTTTATTAGGATGATGAACTAAGTGCTCTTTGTAGAAATGAGCTGGAAATCCCTGGCCAAGGGCTGAGTCCAAGATCTTTGCTAAATCCATTATTTTAGAAGGCCTGGTCCAAATATCATAATACCTGGTAAAGTTTAGGTCTTCCGGGTAAGAAGGAATCAGGAGAATGCCTGGTTTAGAATTTTCGATCTCAAGATACCGAAGAACTAATTAGGTAAAGAACTGCAGAGCTAATGAACATTTTGCTCTGGCGTTCGGATGTACTTTCTGTTGACTCCTACTTGCATCTCATCTGAGCACTCAGTCTAAAGGTCATTATTAATTTCAAAACTAATTAGTATTTTCAAATCGGATTTCTACTGATAAATAGATAAAACTCAGTGTCTTGGAATAAGCACAAGTTCTCTTACACCCGTGTGAAGGATTCTTCAGGGAACAGCTCTGCTGATTACTGTAATTTTTGGCATGAAGTAAAACAGAGATTATCCCTGCATGCTGCACTAATACATACCACCTGGAACAGCTGAGGGTTGAAGCTTTTTGTGACTTATAAAGAGCAACTGTCTGGCATACAAGGAAAAGTTGCTATATAGTAAGAAATTTGCAAATAAAAATACGTATTCAGAATTAGGTTTTCCCTGGTTTCCTCCTATGATTATAGTCAAATCCTGTGTGACAGAATCTGTATTACACTTCTGAATTTAAAAACCTATAATAAAAAGGTACTATAAGTATCTCATATCTATCAATCACACTAATTTTAGTAAAAAGCAAGAATGCTAAAAACTTTAAGGATCCTTTGTACTACATAATCAATCATGCATTTAAAACATTTCATTTTTGTGTGACTAGCCATAGGCCTCAGCTTTGATTTCAAGGCCATTATTAAACCTGTCAGGTTCTGATTTTTAGGGGGTCTTCAAAACACATCTCTTGTTTTTGTAAGTGTGCATCAGAAACAAACTTATGAGAACTTGCAGTTTCCCTCTTTCTGTCATTTGAGCAAATAAATGTCTATCGATTGCATTCCTAAAACTGAAATGATCTTTTAGTATGGCTGCGAACATGTTTACTCTTCTGTGCAGTAATTCAAATCTTAAACATCCTCATCTTCTTTCTTTCTTTTTTTTTTTTTTAAATAACCTAATATGTAACTAACAGTAAATTGAAACCTGCGTTGCTGGACTGGCTTGCTAGTCTACTGGCAATTTTCTTCCCTTCATGGTCTTTGACAATATTTTTTTCTCTAGTCAGTATTCATCTTCTTTCACTAGTGTGCTGGACCACTGCTTGATTCATGGTAAGGGAAAAGCATAAGAAAAATCTGCAAGCAATACAAATATTCGTAAATACTGCTCTAAGCAAAACTCTTAAAGCACTGTAAACAGAATTTCAATAAAAACTCACATAATTCTGACTTCACCTCCTTTTTCATAACTTAATATATTTTCTCTTATCCCTGTTCTGTGCATCTAGCCCAAGGCAGTGCAATGAATACAACCAGGGGAATAAACCATACCAGTCTACAGCACTGTCCTCTTGCAGTCCATCAGCGAAGCCCCTTGTAAGGGTGACGCAAATATTAGCCAAAGGACATCCTTTCTGCTGGTGCTCCAAGCCTGGATAGCACTATCCAAGTCTGCAGCTTTGAAGGAGGCTGCCTCCACAGGTCTCAGGGGCAGCTTCTGCTCTTGCGCAGTACAAGGCAGAGCCAAGATTTGAGACAGAATTTCTGGTTGTTTATCAGAATGGAAATGAGCATTTTCAGTCACACACAACTACTTCAAATATATTCTGCATTAAGCTAATCACTAATTCTAGAATAATATTTTGCTGTGTATTTCATTTCATTATCTACCCACATACCATCTAAACAACCTCATTCAACAGGATTCCTCAAGCAATTTCAGGACATGCCTTAAGTACCTGGGTGGTGGCCAGATCATTGAACAGCCCCTACTATCCTATCAAGAGTAGGGAGGTTCGGAGCGAGTTTGATCTGATTATTACTTTTTTAACTTGATTTAGAGCAGCTCCTCAAGGCTTCAGCTAACACTGCTCATCACTGCACGGGGCCATGCCAATCTTTTCTATTTTGAGCTCTTCAAGATGGCCTAAGAAAGGGCGAGGGGGGAACAACTCACTCAAGGTCATTGGCAGGATCTCCAGCCCATGGTCTGCTGAACTCTCTGACATTTACAGTGCTCACCAAGCGCCCCTGCACACAGACCACCGTCTCCTCCTCCTCTTCAAAAAATCTTCGGGTAGTGCAGAAACTCCAGTCCAGATCTGGTGATGGAGGAGCACTTCAGTGGACTTACCCTACAGCCACGAGCCCCTCAGGAGTTTCTTTTACCTTTGCTGATGCCCTGACAAGCGTTATTATCTTGTCTCTATCCCCAGCACGGACTGACTGGGAAGGGCATACAACAGCTGGTAGACGTGAAAAGGCAGACAGGAATATTCCACATTTAAGAACGGGCTGTACATAGGGACAAAACTCAAAATGTTAAAAAGAAAACCAAAGACTACAAAATACGTGTAATTCATTAACACCCTTCAGCTTACACCAGTACATTTTAGGTAATACATACATTGGTTTTCTTTATACTGCTCCTTTATCCAATTGCACAGTAAGTTTCATTATAGCGGTAAGTAAAAGGGACTGCAGATACAATTTCCATGGCACAAAACCCTAAGGGTATCCATGTAATAAATGAAAACAGTGGTTCTGTCTGCTCAGGTTCATGATTTATCTGCATGTATGGGATTGAACCATGGCTTCTTCATTATAAATCTCCTCTAGCTCATGTTATGTACACTACCTCTATTTCTCCCAATAAACTACATCCAATTTTCTTCTTCCTGTGACCTATTTAATGTTTTATTTAATACTTTTGATACCTGCATCAGAAGCAATCTCCCTCTCACATTGTTTACTTGCAACATAAATAGGAAAACACTGAATTCCAAGCCCTTGCATCTCGAAACATGAAAAAAAGCAAAGATGTATCTGTATTTTTATCTGATCCCAGCTCTACCATGGGCCAAAATAAATCTCAGGTCACTGAAGTTGGAGGTTTGCAGGCGGAGCCAATTTTGGTTTCTTTCTTCAGCCTATACTGGCAGCCATTGCAGGAAAAAGGACCCTGGCCCTCTCCCATTCTGCCTTTTCAATTCCTTTTCATTCACCTAGAGAACTAACTTACATGAAATTAGGACAAGTTATAGCAGGACAAGAATCACTTTGCCAGGCTTCCCAGGTAAGACAACATCATATCAGAAGACGAAAAGAAAAACAAACAGCTTCTTCCCTGAGACTTTCCTTACCAAAGCTGCACGGATTTTACAGATTTAATGGCACTGACCTCTGTCATGGCAGACTACGACATCACTGATATTTATTACTACAGAACAGAAGACATGACCTCCTAAATCATCAGTCTCCTGGCTACTGCCTAAGTGGAGTTTCTGCCCATCGTGCTATAAAAAGATGAAGCCCTGAAATTCAACGGGAAGTATAAAATGTACATTGCATCTCAGAAGCAGCAATGTAAAATGACTTAGACACATGGCAATCCTTTTTTCCTTCCCATTATAAACGAAATTACCTCAACTGAGAAGCTTGAGGTATGATCTCATTCCACAAAGCCCACTTAAACTTGAAAAATAATTAAATGATAGTGCATTCCTGGTGCAGGCCGTCTTTGCTAGGGTAAATGACACCTAATGGGAAAGCTATTATCAGCTTATAGCAAAATACTTTTCTCTGCGTTATCTCGACTTGCTCGGTATCTTTCTGACATGTGGAATACAGTGCTGCTTTTCACTCTTCCATGTGGTGAAGTTTCTCCTTTAGAGAAAACGAAAAGTTTTGTATATGAGAAGCTCTAATTGGTGGCTCCACTAATATATTAATATAGGATTTTGTAGAAGGTATGGTACACATTTAGGCAGGTACATATAAAAAAAAACTACGCTAAAATTAGATACACAGTAGTTTTCATTTTTGTGAAAAAAAGTACTAGGAAACATTCTCCTAAAAGTATACTTGTTTTCTGTGTATCTGCTGTGCCTGTAGTGACATAACATGACCTGGAAGGTGAAATTATGTACAGAAACAGAGAACCAGCATGAGCAAACTCATCCAGGTGCAGTTTGTCTAAATACCTGTATCTTTTCCAGGCACACCTAAAGGATGAAGCAGTCCCTCTGCTGTGACATTGCCTGCAACGATTAGGAAGTAGCCCAGCAAAGACTGAACTCCCCTTTCCCACTTCCCTAAATTAGTGAGAAAACCTTGACAGGAGTAGCCCTGAACTACTTTTGCTAAGCAGAGGCCAGTAGGTTTCAAGGCAAAAAACCCCCAAAACTAGCTTTATGGATTTAGGAGAAAACACTATGTACAGGGACTCAGAAATATGGGGAATAGAGAGTCTTCAAAGACTTCAAACAGACAACCATCTATTAAAATCTCAATAGCAAAACATAATATTAAATGCAGGATATCGAAACTCTGCCTTCAATTACACTCATACAATCCTCAATGACCCCGTATGCAAAATTTAAAGCATTTAAAAATCAAAAACAAACTTTACCTTTAACATTCTTTCCAAATCCCATAGAGGCAGGAACTGCACTCTCTGCTTGTATTTTGCTATTTGTTTTCTCTTTCATGACTTCATCATCACTTGAAACATCATCAGAGTTCATCTTCTTTTTCTTTTTCTTTTTTTTATGTCGAGGAGGGAGCTTTTTCGGAAAGGTAAACATGGGAAATATCACAAGGAGCATTGCAATGGCACAAAGGAGAAATCCACTCCACCTAATGCCAGGAGACAGGAACAAAAATGAAAGCCAACACATTACACGTAATAAAATAACCAAAGTGATTATTACAGGCTGTACTGGCTGGAAAGACATATTTGCAAAATATGGAACATTGACATTAAGAGTAAAGGATTGGAGTGGGGGAGAGCCTTCACTGCACTAAAACCCTTAATTAGAAGATGTTTCTGTTGGCTTGTCTACTGATAAAGGTATTTATCCAGAACTCACCAAATATTATGAAATAGTGTCAGCTTTGAGTTCCCGTAAATTTTTACTTTTGGTAATTATTCAGTACTGAGTGCTGAGAAGTAGATACTCACTTTTACTCTGCCTTTCTTGAATAATTCCCCCGTATTCCTCGGGAGAACATGAAAAAAGTTATCCGTGGCTTGAGAAGATCAAATGTCCAGATGGATACATCAGGGCTAAATCTGTTCTGCTTTCCAGTGCCTACCTCTCACTGCCCCGACTGTCCAATTCTCTCCCTTCCCAACAAAGGGCTCCCAAAGCCTGATTGTAAACAACTGATGTGTTGCAGTTCACACCAGGGTTTATGCCTAAAACTTTGCAGCTCTGTTCTGTGACCACAACCTGAAACATCCCTTCACAAAGAATTCCCTCTTCTCTCCCTCTGTCTTATAAGAATGGGATATAAACAACCCTGCAATGATCCCTTGGCTCACACAGAACGACTTGGGACATACCCACAGAAGGGGCAATGTATGGGATGCCAGAAAAGTGCCCTTCAGACTGCAGGCATGCAGTTAGCCTCCCTGAGGCCAAGAAGCTTAATGAACTTTACCACAGCAACACAGATGGGCAATAGGGCCTTACTAGAAAGTACTCTAGAGTTAACCTTCTGCAGTCAGAAGGCTGATTGATAGTAGAGTATCAGATAACATAATTTCTCCTCTAAGTTCGTCTTGCAATGAAAGACTACAGGGAAACATGGATAAACTCACATAAAGAAGGATGACCGCAGAATTCACCCACAGAGTTCTTGCCATGTACTGAAAGTGCAATTCTCACTATATAGTAATCTAATTGTACTGGGTATACGTGGCAAGGTTTTGGTAGCTGTGTGCTTCTCTGAGAAGACACCGTGAGCTGCCCCCATGTAGGACAGAGCCAGCTCCAAAACAGATCTACCGCTGCCCAAAGCTGAGCCCATCAGCGATGCTGGTGGCACCTCTGTGGTAACTTATTTAAGAAAGGGTAAAAAATGCTGCACAGTAGCTGTGTGAGGGGAGTGAGAAAATGTGAAAGAAACAGCCCTGCAGACACCAAGGTGAGAGAAGAAGGAGGTGCTCCAGGTGCTGGAGCAGAAAGTCCCCTGCAGGCCCAGGATAAGACCATGGTAATGTAGGTTGTTCCCCTCCAGCCCACGGAGGACTACGGTAGAGCAGATACCCACCACCAGCCTGCAGGAGCTGGAGCTGGAGTTCCTGGTAGGAACTGTGGCCTGTTGAAAGGAGCCTACACAGGAGCAGGTTTTCTGGCAGGACCTGTGACCTATGGGGGACCCACGCTGGAGTAGTCTGCTCCTGAAGGACTGCACCCAGTGGACAGGACCCATGCTGGAGCAGTTAATGAAAGACTGTCTCCCATGGGAGGGACCCCATGCTGAAGCAGGGGAAGAGTGTGAGGAGGAAGGAGCGGCAGAGATGAAGTGTTATGAACTGACCGCAACCCCCATTCCCTATGCCCCTGCAGCACTCGGGGAGGAGGAGGTAGAAGAGTTGTGAATGAAGTTGAGCCTTGGAAGAAGGGAGGGGTGGGCAGAAAATAGTTTTGTTTTTAACTCTTACTATCCTACTCTGTTATTAATTGGCAATAAATTAATTTCCCTAAGTCAAGCCTGTTTTGCCCATGATGGTAATTGGTGAGTGTTCTCCCTGTCCTTATCTCGACCCACAAGCTTTCCATCATATTTGCTCCCCCTGTCCTGCTGAGGAGGGGGAGTGAGAGAGCAGCTTGGTGGGCACCCAGCAGCCATCCGAGGTCAACCCACCACACTAATCTACACTAGTGTTTGGAAGTTTCAGTGAAGTCACATTACTGCAATATCAAACCATGACAATGAAAGACTGAAGCTCTTTGCTTTCAAATCACAGTTTACAGAACTTACTTGCACAAGAAACAAAAACATTTGGCCTCATATTTGTAATGCAAAGATATTGCAAACTGTATTTTTAAATGAAGGCAAATTCATCTGCATGTGTAATGGTTTGTGTGGTAAATGGTTATGCAAAGGCAAACACCAAACAAATAGCCACGTGTAACACCATTTTTGTTAGAAAGATTGTACAGAAAGCTTTTGCAAGGCAAATCTAAGTGACTGAAAGTTTTGACTAGTTTTGATATTATGTAAACAGAAAATCCTCTGTTCATTCATTTTAGCTGATAACATACATGGATTAGAATGCAGACTTTTAGGAGGATTAGTCAGCACTATCAGACAGGGAATAAATCGGTAGACTGTATAAAAATGTAGTAACATCCCTTTCAGGATCTCAAAGGCAGAAGCTGCAAAGGCACTGATCAAAGAAACGATTTGTGGCAATAATACACAGAAATCTGAAACCACCCACTCAGCAGG